GCTCAATGCCTGTGGCTGAAATCGTTGTTCAATTCCATGGTTTACCCTCCACAGCAAAGTTGGAAGATGTTAAAGTTGGAATGTAAGCAAACCTTCTTTTTTGTTACCATGACGAAGTTTCTTTGCCATGATTTGTAGTTTTGCTGCTTCCATGCATGCGCAACGTTTTCGCACCAACCTATGACAAGCATGATTTCGAATTTCGAACCCTTGACTTGACTGTGCAACTTGAACTCATTGCCAACAACAATAACAACAGCATGACAAACCACCATGGTTGTTTTTTCGACATCTTGCGACGACGTACACGTATGTATCTCCGTTTGTTTGTCGTTCTGAAGCGACGCCGCCGCCGCTTCGTCCGCACGACGCTCCGGCTACATAATTCGGGCACTTGGAAGTTGCACCGTTACGCACTTTCTTGCAATCAACCATCATAACGACCGCCGTGCATTTTCAAGCAGAATTTATCTTGCATACTCTCAGGGACAGCAACTTGTGTTGCCAAAGGAATGTGTTTTGCGGGAAGGTGACGGATCCTGGCTATCAGGCGAGATTTTCCTGCGCGGGGACATCAAATTGCTTGTCCCTTGGTTGCCATTTTGATTGTGACATTTTTTTCCGCGCTGCCCACGAAATCACGAAACACGAGTGTTTGCAACGGTTTATAGGGTTTCCAACTAGCGGACGTATCGATCATCGCCGCCGCTGCTGCACTTGGCGCAGGGACTTTGCCTTTTCCCCTGCCAGCCATTGAGTGCGCAGTTCCGACGACAATTTTGCCGTCGCATGTTTGATGCCAGTTTCCGCATGCTTGCCATGATTGCATGTTCAAGGGGGCTGCTGCCCAAAGCCAAGCCTTGGTATGAATGTGTATCTCATGGTCAGGCCATGCATTTCTTGCAAGGGGTGTTCTATAAGCTGTCCATCTGCTTAAGCCATGGCGGCAGAAGTTGCGCGTGTGAACTCCGCTTTCGACTTCTTTGACGTCCTCGGGGTGAAGCCACTCTCATCCCAGTGTGCTACAGCAGTTGAAAAACACCGCCGCTTGGTGCAACTGCGATCCTACAGCCAGAAGGAGTTGGCCAGTTTCCGCTCAGCCCTGATACTCTTGGTCCATCCGGACAAATGTGGGCACCAGGATGGTGCTCAGGAGGCTGCCACGCGGGTGAACAAGGCTTGGGAGGTCATCGGCGACGCCACTTTACGGGACCGATATTGCACACAATTGCAGGAGGCATTGCAGCAGGAAACTGCAAGGGAACAAGCCCTTGCATCCGCAAAGCACACGCCTCGTGCGGTTGTTCGGAAGCCTTGTGAGCCCGAACCCAAAGTGGACGAGGGGCTGGATCCCCTGAGTGCGGGGGCAGGTGTTTGCCATGACAAAAAGCCGAAGAGAATCAAAGTTGGAAGATCTTGGAGAGCGTTTCAGATCTTGCCGGGAGTGCGGGGGACCCTTCTGCAGCAAAAGCGGAAAGTTGGAAGAGCCCGTTCCGGACCAACCGTTCCATTTCCCAGCTTCCAACTTTTAGGCGTTCACTGTAGGGTGATTGGTCAGAGCTGCTTACGGCGCTGACGTAGTTAGACCAGTTACACGTGCTGGCGGCAGCTATTCAGGTAGCCACAGCACTACGCGTTACTTCCCTCAAACCCTCCATGTCCTGTGCTACCATATATCTTCAACCCCGAGCCCTGCGGAAAGCCACTACCAAACCAGCTCATATTTTTGTCGGTATTTATGCATAGCACGGACCTCCAAGCAAAAGTAGACCCAGGAGTAAGGAGACAGCTCCGCAGGGACAACGTGACGGTTTCTGCCACTGTTGAGGAAAGCGGCGTGCTCAACTACGATTCAACGAAACCTAAACCCCGACCCCAAAGCCCTAGAAACCCCAGGCCCCAGGCTTCAAACCAACCCTGAACCCTGAACCCTAAACCCTGAGTCCCGAAACCCTAAACCCCAAAACCCTAAACCCCTAAACCCTAAACCCCTAAACCCTAAACCCTAAACCCTAAACCCCTAAACCTTAAACTCCTAAACCCTGAATCCCTATACCCTTAAACCCCTAAACCCTAAACCCAAAACCCTAAACCCAAAAAAGGCCTTCCGAATTGAGGCATTCGGCCCTAAGCCGGCCTTCCCCGAGCACAAGCTGGTCCATGCAACCTTGCAGCACCTAATATAGCAAGGGTTTAGGGTTTTGGGTTTCCTAAATATGGGTTTAGGGCTTTGGGTTTAGGGGTGAGGGTTTAGGGGTTTAGGGTTTAGGGGTTTAGGGTTTAGGGCTTAAGGGGTTTAGGGGTTAAGGCTTATAGGGTTTAGGGCTTAGGGCGTAGGGTTTAGGGGACCTGGCCCAAAGAGGCCAGTATGGGCGATAGCATGTCGCAGGCCTCGGGAGGGGTTTAGGGTTTAGGGTTTAGGGGTTTAGGGTTTAGGGTTCGTCCAACCAAGACAAGGCAGGCGAGTTCGGGCTAGTGGTTTTCGCAACAGCATGCTATTGTTCATGATTTAAGGACCCTAAATTATAGGAGTTATGTTGCATTCCTTGTTATGGGTAATGCGGATCCACGTCATCAACCGTATGAAGGCATCCTGTCACTGGATAAACTGAATGCATTGGATCTGCCTTGGGAACAGGCATGACACTGAAGCCTGCCTGTGTGCCAGATCCTGCGACATATCAGGTCACAAAGACCACTGCCTGTCCAGGGTACCCTAGACCCTCTACCCTACCCTAAGCCAGCAAGCCTTATCTGTAAGGTGCAATTTGGTTCATGAAACGTAGGATATCGATCCTAGAGCCTCGCGTCCGTTTGATGTCCCAGGCTCTTTGGTTTGAAGCGCGAGCATCCTATAACCCTACAGTGGATGCCATGATGGTGGAATACTACGAATGGGAGGTAGCCTAAACCTTTCACACTGTTCCACGCCTGCTTTTCCTTTCGAATTCTATTCAAGGATTCCTGACAAGCATGATGATCTTACCTTAAACCCTAAACCCTATAAACCCTAAACCCATTCACCATGTAGGAGGTCTCTTGAGATAAACCCTAAACCCCTAAACCCTAAAGCCTAAACGCTAAACGCTAAACCCCAAACCCCTAAACCCCTAAACCCCTAAACCCCTAAACCCCTAAACCCCTAAACCCCTAAACCCCTAAACCCGTAAACCCCTAAACCCAAAACCCACGCTAAGAACCCAAAACGCGACAGGAGCTATGGCTAGACAGAGCAGCTGGTCTCGACGATCCTGCTCTGACGCTCTTGTCCGCATGTAATATAGCGGCCTTTTTACTCAGAACGAGGGTTGTTGGAGGTATATTATACTATATTATACTATAAATAGAATATGGCTGAATTTCAAATTTAATTAGGATTAAATTCGAATTTCAGCCATGGTTCATCCTGTAGCCGGCTGCCCGCAATGAGGGATTAAATTCGAATTTAATCCTTTTTAGGGTTTAGGCAGACTCCACGGTTTAAATTCGGTTTCAATAGTCTCGTCTATTTGTGTATACGGCTTACATGGGTTAACATCGAATTAAATTGCAGATCCTTCCGTCAGTTATAGGCATGGTTTTAATTCGAATTTAGAGCTCCTGCTATAGTTTCCGGCATGGTTTTAATTCGAATTTAGAGCTCCTGCTATGGTTTCCGGCATGGTTTTAATTCGAATTTAGAGCTCCTGGCATAGTTTCCGGCATGGTTT